AGCTCATTATAGCCATGGATTGACGCATGCTACACAAGTGGTCATGTTGTGGGGTTAGGAGTCTTAGTTAACTTAGGAGCATGTTAGAGTTAGTATGTTAGGGATTAGGGGAGGGCATAAGCCCAACCATAGGGGGGGTGCACGCCCTAAAGCGCGCTTTTCGCCGCCTAGCACCCATAGCAGCTCATCAGAGGGGTTAGCTTAGTATAGGCTCCTGTTAGGATACGGGGTGGGGGGTGGGGGGGTAGGTAAGCAGAGGGTCAGAGGTTCCAAGGTACTTCATAGTTATATGTTAGCGAGTTCGTACCTGAGCGGACATGGCTGGTGTTGCTGTAGAATCAGTCGCCGCCATATCACGAGGGTGATGACGCAGCGTAGTATCAGCAAGCATACGCCGAAAGCAGAGCACCTGTGGCACAGTAACGTGCCAGACCGCGTCTTTGAACCAAGATCAGTTCGTGAGCAGGAAAGCTCAAGAGGGGAAGAAGGGACTGGAGAGAGGTCGCAATCAGCGTATGCCAGAATGCTGGTGGTATAGTGCGCGTAGGGGGGAGTACTTGTAGTGTTTTTGCTTTATGGGTGTATAGGTTACAGCGTAGCTGGTGGCAGTGCTGTGTGTGCCGTGGGTGTGTCGCAAGGTAGGCCATTTTGCGAGGTGTGAAGGGGTTAATTGTGGTGTTGGGATGAGCATGTGGTGAAAGCAGTATGTGTGGTTCAGGTGGTAGTATGGGGGAGCGGGTACGTTAGTATCAAGTTTGTAGTGTGAGGGATGGAATAAGCGGGTCAGTACAGAGATGGGATCCTTACCCGTATTGTGATGAAGGGGTTAGTATTTTTGCGTGAATGGAGTCTTCGTAGGTTGGCAGCCTGGCCGCAACGTTTTTTTGTTATTTGTCTTGTAGTATAGTGTTCTTGGACCAGTCTGGCTATGGAGGTATTACAGTGCGTCGTATGTGTGTTTGTTTTGTTGCGTGCATGTAGTGGCGTTTCGAGATGGTGTGCTGTTTTTTGTATTTTTTGCAGGCGGGAAGTGATGAGATTGGAACATAGTCGAGCCTTGAGCGGGGGTAAGGTGGAGGGTGTACGCGAGGGGTAGGTCTGTACGCGTGACGTTTGGGTCGCATCTAGCCGGGTAGTGGTAGCCTAGATGCGTAGGGTAGGACGAGCATCGCCCTGTGATTTTTTGTTGGCTACGTGGGCTATTACGTAGTAGCAGGGTCATAGTCTACCAGTATTGGATCGTAGTTGGTCGTTTTTCCGTCGTATATGGAGGGGTTCTGGCTATGGCGGTAATCTGTTTTCCATCGTATTTGTTTTTCCTCGTGCACGCGTTTGTTTTTTTGTGTGTCAGTGTGTCGTTTCGGGATGGTGCGTCAGTTGTCGTGGTTAATAGGAACTTTTAAGCAGTCTTATTGTTTCCCGTATTCTTTTTTATTTTTGTTCTTATAAAAAATGTGACTCATCACCGCTATGTGTGGTTGCTTTTAATGGTGTAAGTACCCCCGTATGGACAATGCTGTGCTGAATATACCTATGTTGGTTTGAAGTTGTGTTTGGTGGCCGCCATTATAGCATAGCTGTGTTAAGCTGGTGGGGTCTTTGTCAATGGTATAAAGGTTGGTTAGACCTACTTTTAATTTTTTAATTGGATAATTTTTTATTTTTATTTTTTTTTTATTATTATTATTTTTTTAATTGTTTCTTAGTTCTTAAACCACCAGTACCTCCGAGCCTGTTTTTGTCGACCCTGATTTTCACTGCACTCCGAGTTTTGCCGAGCCTGGGTCCCACTCCATTTCTTTATGGTACTCTCACAGGGAGAAAAAAAAAAAAAAAAAAGTTGCGGCCGTGAAAACTCACAAAACAAGAAAACGAAACAAAGCTCTGGGCGTGATTGTAGCTGTATACATTCTCGGAAGTGTTAGTGTGAGTGTGCCCTTAGTGAGTACATCTCAGCCCCGTGGCCAGGTTGTCAGATTCCAGAAACTCAAAAAAAAAAAAAAAAAAAGACAGGAGCACGGATTCGGCCGTGAAAATGGCAAGATACAGTCTCGTAAGTGCCAGTGTGATCAGGGTTATAATCCTCTGAGGGAACACAACTCGAGCAGATCACGGACTCAGATTGTCAGATTCCAGAAAAAGAAAAGAAGAAACAAAAAACGGAAACACAGATTCGGCCTTGAAAACGGCTGGATACATCAGGGTTACAATCATCTGAGGAAACACAGCTAGAGCAGATCACGGATTCCGCCCTGCCTCGTTGGCAGGGGACGCATAACAAACAAAAGAGAAATAAAAAAAAGAAAACAACAAGTTTCAGAATGTGACCGTCTTTGTTGTAAGATGCATTCAAGACTGTAGCACGGCCTCCTAGACTACCCTACCCGACATCATTGCAGTACAAAGGCCTTTTTTTTTTTCCTTTTTCTTTCGTGCACGGGCAAAAGAAAACTACGATTTTTGGGACATTGCCGACCCTATGTCCGAACCCCGAAAACTTCGGCTACTGGCCAGGACAACGTAATTTCCCAACACTGGCGGAGGTACTAGTGGTTTAATATTATTTTAATTTTTTATATCTTTTTATTTTATTTTATTTTTATTTTTATTATTTTATTATTATTATTATTATTACTATTTTTTTTTTTTAATTATAATTTGTTATTAATATATTTAAAAAATATATATTATTATTATTTTTATTAATTTATTAATTTATTTATTTTTATTATATTATTATTATATTATTATTATTTTATTATTTATTTTTTATTTTATTTTATTTTATTATTTATTTTATTTTATTTTATTTTATTTATTTTTATTTTTTTAGAAAAACAATTAAGATTATTTCTATTTTTTTTGTTCATTTACTTTATATGCCTTTAAATTTTTAATTCTTAAAATTAATATATATATGTATGTGTGTGTGTGTGTGTGTGTGTGTGTGGGTGTGCGCGTGTGTGTATGTGTGTGTGTGTGTGTGTGTGTGTGTACAAGCATAACGCTACCATAGCAACCCATAACACGGGAATCCTTACCTGGTCGGATCCTCAGTCCTGCTCACATTGCTTGCACAACCACGTAATCCCTGCATGCATACGCCATGTTTACATCCTGCAGAGGAGCAATAGGAGATGTTGAAGAGGAGAGGGGGGAGGAGAGGGGGGGAGCATAAAATGGTATGACCATCAGACATAGGCTACTTAGYCTATGGASGAGGGGTGGCGCATCCCCTTAAGCGCTTTTCGCCGTTAGCGCCGTTACGGCTCATCAGAGGGTATATGTCCTCTRGCTCCCGGTGGGGAGGTGAGAGAAAAGGGTGGAGAGCATAGCATAGGGGAGGTGTAGCTAGAAGTCTAGCAACTCRCCATGTGCTCGTCGATGTCGACGCTGTTGATTGGCTCATCCATGGCAGCCATTGCACTCGTCACGAGGTAGTGGCTGATAACCCACATTTGATCGCAGGGTCAGGGCAAATGAAGCACTGTACAGTGCCGATCACTATCTCACCAACTGTAGGCCTCAGTCCGAAGGAGCGGCTTGAGGCGACAGTTTGCAGAGAGAAGGAAGGGAACCTTCAAGCTGGAGATGGGTATGGCGGCAGCCGTACTCTTTGCAGCGAAGGTTGGAAAGCAGAGGTGGAGGGGAGAGGAGGAGAGGAGGAGGGGATGGTTCCAACAGACGGCTGCGCCACTTGTCGCATCGTAGAGCCTGAGGAAGAGGATGGAAGGAGGAGCAGATAAATAGTAGTAAGCACGAGGGAGGGGGGGCTCAGCCATTGAGCGTGAGAGGGTGTAGTTACGTGAATGGTGGTATGGGTAGGTGATGTGCGTGGGTTTAGTTGGGGGGGATGGGTTGCTTCTTAGGATGATAATGGGTAAGTGAAGTGGGTCGTGTGTTTGTGCTCGTAGAAGGGTCATATTTGCTGCGGTGAGTATCTGTGTGAAAAACAACCGAGTGTGCGAGTTGGCTGTAATGGTGGGGGTGTAGTGGGTAATAGTACGGGAGGAGAGAGTAATGGTACGTTTGTGGAATGGTGCAGTATTGTAGCAGGGGGGTGGGGGAGGATGCATGAGGAGTTGGTAGTGGTGGGTAGTACGAGGTGAGGGGTGTGCAGGCTGTCGGGGAGGAGGACTGCAGTTCACAGGTTTTGGACGTATAGGGGGGTGCCGTAGTTTGTGGGTATGGATTCTTGGTGTCGGGTTCTGCGTGGGTCTGGGTTTTCTACGCAGGGTGGAGCCGTCGTTCCGTGGTGGAAAACGACATGCAGGTTGTGTATGCTTTGTGAGCAGCGATGGCGGGTAGTGTGGGGTTGGAGGCAAGTGGAGAGTTCTTTTGGACTGGTACGTGC